AACCAGTGCAGTACTACGGGTACTGTGATTTATTTTACAGTAAATATTTTTATTTATTGTTGTCGTTCGACGATTACTAGTATCGTGCTGAATTGCCTATGCAGTAATTAAGAATGTGGACTATGTTCACACACACAAATCAGTTTTTAGTTCTTTGGTATTGTAGTCGTGAAAAAAGAGCAGTTCATTAACGTACCATACTTGTAGTCAAGCTATGGTACCGTATGTACGTTCTCGTAACCTACATGCATCCAGGCACAGGTCGTACTGACTGAGCTCAATCGTCCGTACCATACAGTACAGTATCTGGTGCGTTACAGTACGTACAGTACGGTACTSTACTGTACCTCCGGAGTTCGTTCGCTACGGTACGTACCATACGTACTACATACCGGTACATCTCGTAGTCGTTAGGTTCTGCTGAAACTCAACAAAAGTGAACGTCCATGATGTTCTGTATCGTATCGTACGAGTAAAGTACGTACCGTGATACAACTGCTACGACCACCCTTACAGCGACGAAAGCATGTTTGGAAAACGTTCGGTGTTGTTGATCGTKTTCAGTAATATTTCGTGTACACTCATCGTACCTTGACTCGGCAGCACCGTGATTTGTCCCCCCGAATCGATCGTTGCCATTCGAAACGAAGCCAATAAACAAAGGAATCGATTATGACGACAGAAGGCCCACCCCGCCAAGACAGCAATGCCGGTAGCGAAATAGATAGTAACGACAACGATTATTTGAATCGCAATTCAAATTCGAGTCCCACTACGCCCGTCGCATCGAGAACAACGGCAACAGCAGCAACACCTTCCAACCGGGAACTCGCGACAGCGGTGTCTGTTTCGACACCGGAAGCCATGGCATCTCTGCTGCCATCCATTTCSTCGACAAATGGAAACTCTGCGCTGCTTCGTGAGTGGACACCGACCACGGACGTGCAACGATTGCCACTAGAGGCAAATCCGAATCCGAATGCAGGAACAAACGACAACAATTCACACGTTTCCCCGATCCCTCCCGTCGCGCCAGCCGTATTATTGATTCAGAGGGAAGACACCTCCAATTCCAATGATTCGTCGACAGCTGATGCAACTGCCACGAGAATCTCTCAGTCGTATCCCTATCCGGTTGCAACCCTGCTGACAAACTTTGTGCGCACCGTGAGTGGGCACATACCCAATTGCACTCACCTAAATCAGTACTCCCAAGCTCAAGTAGAACCGACAGAGTCTTCAGTGAATTTTCGAGACGCAACAGCCACAACYACATCTACTGAGAATTTTGGTGGAAGTGAGAACAATAGGAACAACAGCGGCAACACGAACAATGTTGCAAATAACACTTACGGTTCGGCGCMAATGATTCTGTCCGAATCGTCGCAAGCAGCAATGGCTTTTGAAGCGGGCAACGAAGAATGGACAATAGTCGATGGCGAAGTTGTGGTCATGCCCAGGCGGGACGACCACGAGGATTATTTTGGAGCAAGAAGCGACGACGACTCTCGTTCGTTGGGAGACCTACCTCGCGGGGTTCTTGATCACAATAAGCGGGAACAACGCAGAATGAGCAGGAGTTCTCGAACGCACCGTAGTTTTCGACGATTGAGAGGCCTCAGAAGGTTTCTGACGGGTGGAAAATCATCGCGACAAAAACAACGAGAGTCACAGCTTGACAATGTCGTAGGCAGCGGTAATTTTCGTGAGCAACGAAGCACTTTTGTTTCGGATGACGACTGCGAAAGTGGCGATAACGACAGTCTGATTGAGGCTCCAACTTCGCAGAACAATACGGTGATAAAGAGTAACGATAACAATAGGAACGAAGAAGAAAACTCATGGGAACCTGAAGATCGGTCAATCCGAATGACATCTATTCGATCCACTGAATCGGGATCTTCCACTAACAACAACTCGAGTAGTCGCGGTAAGAACAAAGGTCGACGCAGGAAAACCTTTCCTCGTTGGGTACGTGACATCAAAAGCAGTCCGAAGTCTTCCAATCAATCCAAGCGTTCTACTGCTTCCACTTCGACTTTGTCGTCGAGGTTACGAAAAAAGCCTCCAACGTTATCTGGAGTAACGTCTCTGACTTCCCCCAATGCTTCATCATCTGCAAAGGGTTCGGATGAACATATGCTGAACGATAATTCGGACTTCTTTGGTCATGATGAACCATATTTATCAGCAGGACGAAGAGGTCGTTCTCAAGAACTGCGAACGTCGGATCGAAAACCTGCGGCTCGTAAAAATCCAAGTGCTCAAAGCGACRCTTTGATGCCTTCTCTCTCGGAAACCTCCCTTTCTTTTTCTTCAAATTCCTTATCGCCACCTCCATCGTCGTTACATGCAGGAAGGTCGTCACTCCACGAGGATCCCAGAATACCTACCAGGACTGAAGACTTACTAGGGTCGTATCCGGTAGCACAGAGAATGGACGAGTTCGAGCGATCGTCGTCCGACGCAGTTCATGCTAGTTTTGTTGGGAACGCAGATATGATTAGTTGCGAGGGCGATGTGCCATCTGCCGCAGTCAAAATCATCGAAGACCTCAATGAATATGGTAAAGACGAAAAATCAAAAGGCATGGGGAAGCTATTGAAAGATGATAGACAAGATGAGCCATGTATAGATACAAAGATGAAACGTGCTCGAGAAGAGTTAGAGGCCGAAAGGCAAGATGAAGATGGATTTTTAATTCAAACGAAAAGGRCCATGAAAAAGGGCAAGTCAAGTGGAGAATCAATCCCATTGTCTGAAGCTAATCCTAAGGACAAAATAGTGCACAATGATACCCTTAAATTATATTTGGTCGGCGACAATCCCATCGAAAAAAGCGCACTAAGCMGAGCATTGCGTAAAAGCGCAAAGGAAATAAAAACTTCTTCACAGCCAAAAACACTTTATGTCAATGTTAAACCCTGGGAACCTGACGACTCTGAAGTAAAATTTATGGTTTGGGAGGTGAAAGGGACCAACAATGAGGATCAATACTCGCCGAAAATTGGTGCTCATCCTAGCATCCAATCTTTGTTTTTTTCAGATCAATCTCTGTATTTACTGGTATAYGATATGGGAGCTAGTAACCCTGAAACCTTCCGTCATTCTGGCAATCACGACGACTCGGGTGCGGACTCGGACGATGAGTGGGATGAATACGTGAATGCGTATGACCAAGATGAAGCGAATAAAAAAGCTGATCGAACGCTCCAAGCCGATATCAGAAAACGCGTGTTATCATGGGTGACTTGTATAGCACAAAGAACTACTCACTCTGCAATCTTGCCAGTTGCATTGATACCCTCGAATATGTCACCTGAAGAATTCAAAAGACGTTGCGACWTCATGCAAAACTTGATGATCGAATACGTCAACAAATTGCCAGCAGCTGCGAACCGGCCAAAACTTGTTTTTGGCAAAGAGACCGTCGCATGCGTATCGTTGCACGAGGAACATGATAATATGGGTCTCAAGGATTTAGAGCAACTGATTTTGGAAAATACAGATCCTAGTGATATGGTTTCCCACCGTGATGGGATCAGAACAGGCATTCCGAAAGTTGGATCTCGTGTCCCTCCCGGAACKAAGGAAGTTATGGAACAGTGCCGACGGCTGAGAAAGAATGGGCACAAAGTGATATCAGTGGATCATCTGATTGYAGAACTACAGAGGATACCTGGCGAGCTGGAATACTGCTTGGAGAGCGTGACTGAAGTTTTGTATTTGTTGGACAGTATTGGAGCAGTACTGTACTTCGGTGGTTTTGACTCGAGACTGAAAAACTATATCATCTTATCYCATCGATGGTTAGTTAGTGTGCTTTCGTGCTTTCTCTTGAAGGATTTGAAAACAGAAGTGGAGTCTGTGCGCAAAACCATTCATGAACAGTCTTTCTTCTTTCCTGATGATGTGCTTCCWGAAAGTCACGTAGTTAAAACTTACTCCAGCTGCCCTGTTCTATGGGATCGAGCTTTAGAGATGCTGTGGATACAACAAAAAAGAATACGAGAGGCTGTRGATACCCAACCCCAACTACGTTCTTCTCAGCTTTCAGAAAACACCTTAACAATGTTTCRCTTCGTCGAGSACCTCTTGGTTCACACAGGTGTTTGTTTACCTTTGAAAATCGACCAATCCTGTTCAACAGAAAACATCTATTTTATTCCCTCCCTTTTGTTTCCACTTTGCGATACTGGTACTTGGTCGTATAAATGCCATGAGGCCTGGGTAAGTTGTACTAGGATTTTCCGTCAAAAGATTTCTTATACAATGAAAAATCGATATGCTAATTGAATCTCTCACATATCCTCCTTCAAACGTTGTTGCTTCGYATGTCGTACAAACACTAGAAAACAACAATTTGTCACTCTTGGGTAAGTTGTCGGTTTTCGTTCACTCTAAACGTGCTATTTGAGACCGTTCTGGCCATATCTCACCATTATTTGTGCCATCATTTTTCGATGCAATTTTCGYAGCTTTTTCGAGAAGGTGCACCGGTGGGACTAATGGAACGTGTCGCAGTYGCATTATTRAGAGACTTATACGAGAACTCTCATGCTAAGGCTGAAAAACCAAGTGGGCCGTTTTTTCCACAACAATCTGATCACCARTATCATCGAGCGCATACCTTTCCACTTGACAAGAACGACCGAGATGACTACATGGGCTCTCATTATGTAGAACCGGTGGGTCCGATTAGGATCGTGGATGTACTGTGTTGGAAGAATATTGTGAAGATACAAATAGGAAGATCGTTTTCCGAACGAAATGAACCTCAATTGAAAGAGACAATAACTGAAATTTATGTCGCTCTTACAGATCGCGATGTGGCATCAGACGTTATGCGGCCCAACGAACAGAGATTAGTTGTTAGTGCGAAAGGGGAATCCGGTCTTCATGGCCAAAAAGTTTGGAAGGGGGGATATGGTATTGTTTTGAAGTCTATTGAGGCTTTTATGTCYAATGTCCCTCATTACTTGAGTAATGTTGAAAGGYAAGTCYCTACACCATGTGCAGATCACGATTTATAAATGGCATCGAACAATTGACTCACTGTTTTATTTTTTGATAGGCAAGTSGTATGCCCGGGATGCCTCGCTAATTTACCACCATGTGATGCCAGCTGTTGGAGTTGGGATAGTGTACGCGCGGCTCCATATCATAAGATAAGCTGTATTAAGGGACATGAAGCCGACAAATATTTGATTACCGGAACTGTTCCCCCCGCCACTAAAACTAATAATAGTACGATAAATAGAACGGGAAATTCACCAATGRCAAATATTGAAGACTGGTCCTCTTCTGTTGTTATTGTTGGTTTGTGGAATGATGACACTGAGACTATTGAAGACGTTGGATCTGGATTTATTGCCAACAGCAAGAAAGGACTTATTGTGACAGCCGGTCATATTCTTTTTGATATGAGAAAGGGACGCACCTTTGGAGCAAGATACAAAGGATTGAAAAATGCTAGGGCTGTCGTTGGAGTTGTATCGAGCAAAAATGACGACAAGGCAAACGCCGTATTTCGTTATTTCGCTGAAATCGTTGCTGATGATATTTGCAACATAGACGCTTGCGTTCTAAAGATCACTGCTAAGCTTGGGAAAGACGTTCGCAATCACTCATTGATCGGGAAGCAATCAGGCCAGTTCGAAATCATCTTGAAAGATGTAAGCGAAGAACGACTCCCGGTACTAAAGATGACTAGYACTAAATTTGAAAGAGAGGAGAGAGGTCGAATTATCGGGTTCAACCAAGGTGGTGAAGGAAGGCGAAAAAAGGGCGAGCATATTAGTACAACATCGGATCTTTTGGGAGGATATATTTGTAAGCTATTTAAACCATCAGATGATCATTCCATTAGCAGCGAGGATTCATCGGCAACCGAAGAAGGGGAGTTGCGTCCTCGAGAAGAAATTGTTGTCATTTGTGATGCCAACACTATTCAGGGTCATTCTGGTGGGCCATTTGTAAATAATGAAGGRAAAGTTGTCGGCATTTTATCCAGGAGTGATCCTGCGGATCCGCGAAGGTGTTATTTAGTGCCAACCAGCGAAATAAGAACACTGATAAAGAAAGCCAAGTTTCAGAGTTCGGGCTTGCAATATGCACCATGACTTCAAAAGCAGAACATAACGCGCGCTTGACAATATCATCAAATCATTCTGCTCTGTTCATTTTAACACGCAAAACATCACGCCGAGATAAAGCTTTTCGGATTGCGACATCAATGCCAAGGAATATAGCTGATCCTAACTTTCAAGTGGGGTTTGATTTTTGCATAACATAGCATGCATTTTAAATGGTGATATWTATGACGCCCCTAGCAAGAAATGAACAACAATAGATTGATAAAAGCACAAAACGAATAAAATTTAACAACACTATTTAACACTTTCAGACATACGCTKGTGTACTAGCAGAGCTACTGCTAGTACTACTAGTACTACTAGTAGTCGAGATAATTCTTGAGAAAGACTTCCTTCTTGTTCTTTGTGGTCATTGTTTKGGTTGTGTCATTATTATTCTTGTCATGTCAAAAATGAAAATGATTTAATAATTACTAGTAGTGTTTGGCTTTTCCCAGAAATTAAATTGCTGGTACCGAAGAAGTGGACCACTAGCAAGTCAGTTGATGTTGCGGTGCTCTGATTGGGACTATCATCACCATCTATCTACAAYGTCGCTTTTCCTACCGGTACCGTATGCAAAGAACTGTCAAGGGTGGGAAATTTAGTCAAGAACTTCGAGGGAAAAATACAGTAAGCCTGTTTTCTAAATCACATGCAATCCTACGTTGAAGATTGAAGATGAGAGTTCTGGCTTAATAAACATTATTACGTGTTGCGGATCAATATGTTAGCAGCGTAGGCTATGTAGAAATGAGTACTGTGATTTTTTTTCAATTTAATGTCCTGAATGCTCTGCTTACTGTACCGTAACAGTCTGAAAGTTAGCAGGGGAGGCGTCATCTTCTTCCTCTTTTTTAGATCGTGCAAGACTGAAAATGAAGAATGTGGATAATACTATGATCTACGTAGGGCTACGATATTTAACATTCGTTATTTCTAACATTCGGAATGTTAAATTAAGATTGGGAACGCCCTGTGAAACGTAGTTTCAATTGATCCGCAATGCGTAGTACTCGTACCGGTACAGTAGTAGTAAAATTTTAATTTTCTGTAACGTTAAATAATACCAGTAATAAATACTGTATTGGTTTCGAGCACAATGATAGTTGACTCGCTCCATCACAGGTACAACGGTCCTGTGTTTCTATGAAAATAGAACGATTACGATTACGATTACGATTACAACAACAATTAAGAATTCGTACGGCACTGCTAGAACGAGTACGAGTAGAGACATTCGACTCGAACATTCCAAAAAGAAGTCCAAGGTACTGCAATACTCAACAAAACTCACCATCACATTATTAATCAGCGAAAAATGGGTGCATTGAGAAGGGAGAGAACAAACCCGGAACGCAAGTCCCGGCGCCGCCGGAAGACTCTTGACATWATTTTTTTGGCAATTCTCTTGTTTGGTTGCGTGTCGGTGGCGACGATGACTCTGTACGGCCATCGCTCCGTGCATTACGAAGATCATGGATCTACTGCAAATTATGCAATGCTGGCTGCGTTTGAAAACAATTACATCCCCGACCTTTCAAAAAGGATAGGAGGCTTTCCTGTATCACCAACATTGACCTCTATCACAGAGGCACCAGAAATCTATAGCTACGACGTCAGAGACAATGACCAAGATGGTGACAATCCATACAACCAAGGGAAAGACAACAATATCGAAAACGACGACGACGACGGTCTCGATGACATCACCAAGAAACTAACTCCAGAAGAAAGATACAACCAATTCAAGCTSGATGTCTACAACAGCAGCAAGAACATTCCAATCTTCTACAATCTCTTCGTTGGCAACGAATTTGACGCTCCTCGGGTCAATCAAATAGTGTCGGAGCAATTCAGGAACGTTCTTCCAATTCATAAACCCATTTACGTCAATTCGATTGGCASCCCCCTCGATTTTAATTCGCGTGACACCGTGCACAATGTCCCTCCACTAAACACCACCAAAAATCCCGTGGAGATCCTCGGCTACTACAAGACTGCCGCCGAACACATCACGCTCAAAACGCTATGGGACTATTGCCGGATACCAGAAAATGCAAACCGAAGGGTTGTATACCTGCACAGCAAGGGAAGTTATACCGCAACTATCGACAACGGAAAACTCAGGCGCTTTTTGACCTCCGGCGCTCTCTCGAATGAATGTGCCACCATGCCCAAGGACACATGCAATGTTTGCTCGTCTCGTTTTTCGCCCGTTCCTCATCCCCATACCTCGGGGAACATGTGGATGGCTCATTGTAGCTACGTGAAAAAGCTCATTGATCCGGAACAATTCGAGGAGGCGATGGAAGGATTGCAATACGKGGGCGGTTACGACTTCTTAGCGTGTGATGGAAGAGGCCGTTATTCGGCCGAGCATTGGATTCATTCGCACCCGACTGTCAAGCCATGTGACCTCTATAACAGTGCAAATTTTACATGGAACTACGATGGAGTCCCAACCGTGAACCAATTCAAGGCCAATATGGAACTGAAGGTTGCTCCTCGGTTCGAACTGGAAGCCTTCCTAAAAACGAAGATTCGTATCTGTACCRGCCGGGGAGCGTCCAAGAACTTTCGTATAAAAGAGTACATCGGTTTGTACAATGAATATCCGGATTCAGATTGGTGGGGGCATAACTTTTTGAAGGATCAGGAAGACTGGTGGCCCCACCGCGATTATGGTTGGGCACAGTTGCCCCAAACCGTWAGAAACAAACTCATCGAATTTGGATTCGATGATCACCTCTGGACAATCCGTCATCACCCCTAYAGACTATGGGGRAAAACATGGCACGAACTCACATCCCAAGATCGACAAACGTTGACCGATGTCTTTGTATACACCGAAGAAACATGGAACAATGAAATCAAATCGGAAGAGACCGATGCAAACCACATCTTAGATTCCGTWAGAAGGTTTGAACCAAATCTGTCCTTCGATCGCTGCAACACGGACAAAGAGGGAAGGGACAGCACTACCGGCAACAAGGTAAAACCATGGTACCCGAGAAAAGAAGAAAATGAAAACCGACCRCTCAAGTCTTTTATCTACGAAGCCTCCACAAAGCCACCCAACAAGAAACGTCTTTTGATCATTGCAGCAGTCCCCCGTGACGAAACCCACCTTCTTACTTTGTGGAGTGAATTAGAGTGCTTTGCAGAATCAGTAGACCATGTTTTGATCTCAGCTCCAATGTGGGGCCAAGTCTACATTGAGCATATCATACTCCTCGCAAAAAAATACATTCCGCATTTCATYAACGGAAAGGTGACAATGGAAGGAAAATACTTTGTGAACAACCGGTATGACGTCGGATTATGGTGTGATGCCTACGAGAGTTTGGACTCCTATGGAACATATGATGAATATGGATTGATCAACGATTCTGTCTATGCTCTTCGCAAGTTTTCTGCTGTGTTTGATAATCTTGAACACAAAAACGTTTCTCTTTCATCTTTATCCCACTCATACAGTGCAAAATGGAACATAGATTTTGGACCGCAGTACTATTGGGTGGAGAGTGTCTACCGTGCGTTTGACCGGAATGGTATTCAAATATTTAATGACCACTCTTGTGTTCCAGAAGACAATCCCAAGTTTTGTCCTGAAGAAGAGAACAACAAGGCTTGTATCATCAACAACTTTGAACACGATCTAGCCAATGAATACGCCTGTGACAAGGTTGCTGGTGTATATCCAGCTGATTCGGTGGGAGCTTTGGTCCCGGAGGACATGCGCGTGGCAACATGGATTAAAAACATAGGCTATTGGAGAATGCTAGTGGATCATATGGGATTTCCAGTTGCCAAGGCTAACGAACGGGAGCAGGTTGCAATCCAAAGCACCCTCGAGGAAAAGATTCTTTCATGGCAGAACAACCCTTTGCTGAAGACTTGTACATCCCACATAATGGATCGACTAGATGAGCTCTTTAACAAGGATCTCCCGACCTTCAAATCTGCGAAACCCTTCTTCAAGCGTCGGTGGGTAAACCTACCCCCCAATTTACAGGAATTGGCGGAGAAAACTCTTGGCTACAACGAGAAAATATGGAACCGTGCAAATGACTCACCAATTCTTGCTGGGAAGAAGTGGAAAGACCTTACCGTAACACAGCAACAAGCCTTGCAAAAATTGGAATGCTCGATGCTTCAATACAATCAAGATGGTTGCCATGTGCCAATGCGCGCGCGTTTGAAAATGATGAGGCAAGGGATATTTAAGTAGGGCGACTCTGCAATAACGGAACCATACCATACTATATTGATCGTTGGGTTCATTTTACTTAGAACCAGGCGGTATTCCTATCTTTCTAATRTGCCACCACTGAATTGAAGCTCCTGCCAAAGTTACAGTTACTTCCCTCAAAACACTCCGACTACAGAGAAGCACAAAGTGATTGCATCATTGGGGGGCTCGGCTCTTTGCTTGGTTGTACTGCTCCAAGCCGAAGATGAAGTGAATCTCACCCAGAGGCCAGTAGCAAAGAGCAAGCACAAACGGAAGTAGATGCAAGTAAGGAGCACGGAAAACACCAGTCCTATTAGAAGGAATGCACTCAATCACCCAAATGAGAAAATCCAAAATCCAATGGGGAAGGGGGGGGGTCTGATTAAATTTCAAAGAGGCATTGTGACTACCCCCTCCTCAGGCATCTTGTAACCATACTCCATTCCATACATCTTTTGCGTTATCCTCATTCCAATGAAATTCCAATGAAAATGAAACATTCTAGTAATAATAATACTAGTTCAGATGACAGAATGATTACGAAGATGGAAATAGTCCTCAAAAATTAACAAAACTCCTGTACGCGAATAGTATGTACTCGTATCGTTTACAGATTGTACGACAATAYCGTAGGACGGTTCGAGTACGTTAGGAATTAGGAATCCTCCGGTTGATAGCTGGACTTTAAACGCACTTCACTGTAGTACCGTAGATACGGCTCTTTGTACTACGAGTACCAGTACTGAACGGAAGGATCTTTGTTTTGGTCTTGCGATGTGTGCATGTGATGGTCATGAAACACTTCATACCCTGTTACTGTTGATATTATTTTCATTTGTCAAAGGACACGCTGTACATCTTTGCAAATCGGGAGAGGCAAGACGAAACAAAATGTCGGACGATTGGTGCACTATTGAGAGTGACCCGGGGGTCTTCACCGAATTGCTTACAGATCTTGGCTGCACTTCCGTTCAATTGGAGGAACTCTGGAGTTTAGACGACGAGAGCTTGGAGGCTCTGAACAACACGGCAGAGATCTACGGTCTCATATTCTTGTTTCAGTGGCAATCGAAATCTGACTCCGAGGCGCTGTCTGCGTCGGAAGACAAAAACGAGCCGCTGAGCGAAGAACAAATCCCTCCCGGCCTCTTTTTTGCACACCAAGTCACAACCAACGCCTGCGCTGTAAGGTTTCTTTTGTTACGATCGTCGGCGCGGCAGCATACTGTGGGTTGCGTTGCACTACGAACAACTCAACTCGAACAATCACACAACTTTTCCGACACTCGTAGCTATTCTGTTGCTCACTAACGCTCCTTTTCTCTTTATGCTTGTTGTTTTGTTCTCTGTTTCCTCTTTCCCGATACTTTTAGACTCAAGCCATTTTGTCGGTCATCTTAAACCAGAGGGACGACGTTGAGTTGGGGTCCACTTTGAAAGAATTCAAAGATTTTACTGCATCCTTTCCTCCGGGGTTGAAGGGAGTTGCAATTTCGAGTAGCGAAGCCATTAAAAAATCTCACAATGCGTTCGGCCGCACCGATGCTTTTTTGAACGATGGAAAATATGTTTCTCGACAGAATCAGTCGGAGGACGTCTTTCACTTCGTAGCATACATTCCGCATTCCGACGGGAATGTCTACGAGTTAGATGGCTTGCAGTCGGGACCCATCGTTGTAGGAAAGTATTCAGACGAGGAACAAAAAGACAATACTGCAAAGAGTACGAAATGGCTACCTGTCGCTAGGGAAGCCATCCAAAAAAGAATGCAAGGTGACGCGATCAAATTCAATCTGATGGCTGTGACGAAAGACAAACGATTGGGATTGAAGGAAAAGATCGAAAAGAATCCGACCGATGGGAGCCTGATCCACCGTTTAAACATGGAAGAAGAAAAAAGGAAGCAGTGGGCATTGGAAAACCAACGCCGGCGCCACAATTTTGTWCCTCTTTGCGTCTCGATTCTCAAGGAATTGGCGCGTGCCAATTGCTTACCAGAATTGGTAGAACAAGCAAAAGACCGCAAAAGACAAAAGATTGTTGGCAAAAAATGAAGGAACGAAGTCTTCGTAACGGCAAAAYTGCTGTTAAATGATAAGAAGTGCCGTGCAGCTCCGTTTTGGTCAGGAGAACCTAATTTCCGTCTTCGTGATGACAAAGTTGCCGTTATGTAATAAGAGGTGCCTTAACGCTCCGGTGTRGTCAGGATAATTGAATTATGTCTTTCGTTGGTGAATTGTACTCGTATTGCCTTTCGACAGAGCTAGATCATGTCTTCAATGTTACATATGAACATGAAGTTTCATTTCGACTTAGTTTCGCTAGYTCCTTCCAATTCACTGTTACATTCACACCTCTTTTTCGCCGAAGAGCATTCAAACAGCATTTTTTCGTGCTACCTGTTCATTCTGTTTTTGAAGGCCCGTCGAGAATTTGAAATTATATTTTTGAATCGGTCGTCTCGTAGTTGTTGGCAGCTAAATTTTTGTAATAGCTGGACAGTCCACTTGATTTGATTTTATGACGATAAACAATACAAGATATACACTATCAGATTATCAATTTTCGAGCTGCGATCGAAATGTCATCCCGATAGCCTCCTGGTTCGCTATCCCATAATTGAGATGCTTTCAAAATCAATTGTGTCGCAGCTTCCATACCTGGGGATGATTCGGGAGGATGACGTAGTTGTTTGCGGTGTTGTTCATTCATTAAATCGGTTTGCTTTGTTGACAACGCTTCGGCCATGGTCATTGCCACCTCTTCTTCCGACAACTTGCCGAAATCAACCAGGCCATCAGTGGTAGTCACTACAATGAACTCGTTGTTCTTGTCAAAATTTTCTAAATCCAAAACGTCGGTGTCTGGCTCGGCGCTCAGGCCAACCTTTAAGCCATCGTGATCACCGAGGCTTCGGCTCATAGCCAAACCAATTTCAAAAATTTGTGACCCTACTTTAACGGGGATCATCAGGCGTGCACTTGCACCCTTGAAAGGAGCGTCTTGAACCCGACCTCCAGAACCTTCGATCCTTYTCCTTTCGCTAGGCGTATCTGGTTTATGAGGCCTTGTAGAATAAATTATTTTAACCTCCGGTGTACTTTTGGATTTGTTATAACTTGCCACRAACGCCACCGAGTCTCCAACATTTGAAATATACAGCAAATTACCTCTTTTCAACACGCTTATGCCGGTGCACCCAGAAGTACTTATGAAGCTTGGAATTGAAATGTTAATATCTAAAAAGGTCTTTCGGATATTGTCTTTTACCGTCTCTATATTCTTGTTYTGTGCCCCTAATGGATCTGCAGCTTTTTCATCTTCCCACTCTTTGTTAATTCGTCTGCTAAATTCAGAACTCACGTATTGCGACACAGCGTGGCCATGAAATCCATGACCGTCGAACAATCCTATCCACCAATCATCACCACCACTGTTCCGACCGCGAAAGCTACCATCTCGTTTAGACACCACTAGTACTCGATCTTGGTTTGGAGTCCTATTACCGTCCTCGGGATTAAACTTGTGACCCTTCCGCGTTAGAACTACTATCTCCTCATTAATTTCTGATACAWYGCCACCTCGATAAAGCRCCTCCGCATTTCTTGTTTTTAGATCTTCRAGATCTGATGCTGGAAGGTTWATTGTAGCAATCGAAGAATAGCGATAGAATCCAATTGCTGGTTTTTGGGACTGTCTTTCCCATTCTTGTTTAGATGATTGGACCGTCAGATCTGTGTTTGGAAATGCTGGCAGTGAGAGAAATTCCGAATTCCTTTCTTTAGGGCTGTCTTCAATACTGCTGGAATTTTTAGTGCTGCTAGGGTCGAAAGTGCCATTGAATACCGAGTAGATGAATCGATAATTCAGGTAAAACACCAACGCAAGCGAAAACAGGGCAGATCCTTTTACAACGATAGAAAATTGCTGCGACGATAGAAGCAACCGATTTTTTGAACGCTTTCGATCATATTTCATTTTATTGTAATCATTCGACATACATTCGTCGACGATTGCGATCAACAGGACAGAGCATGGGATTGCCTTTTTAATGATAATGGAGAAAACCGCTCGAAACTATCAGAACGTCTTCACTCAAAATGTTTACTTCATGAAAACACATTCTCTTGCTTCCCTAAAAATACCGGACAAAAAATTTCTGTACTACTACCGCACGATTGTGTAACCTCCCCAGATTTTGGTTGGATCTTATCTTCTACGGTACAACAGTACGTACGGTACCGGTAGAACAAAGTACTTTCGTAATACTGTGACATAAATTGGCCAATCAGAGGCGCGACCAATTGCAATTTAGGAGACATAAAGAGTAGTACTGTACAGTAAGTTTAGAACCCTGATAAGTAGATGGGACCAGAAATTTGAAATTTCTTCCATACAGTAATCTGATCGTACGTACGTACTTTAGGGCGTTCATTTCCCTCGGCTGGCCAGAAAAGTAACGTAAAGGTTGTCACGGCCTCTTACAGTACCGTATTCTCTTACCGTAGAGCAAATGTCCGTATTTTTCAACGTGGTACTTCGTACATACCATACCTCAAGCGGATACATATGGGTACCAAGTACCTAACGACCCCAGAGGTATCTGTAACGCACGTTGAGAGATTTTTCAGAATCTCTCGCCGTCTGCTCATCACCGGCTACAGTTGATTCATTCCTTGCTTGCAACGAAGGATTCCTTTGGAGTGTATGTTTTGAAAATAAGAAGCTACAGACCTACTTACTTATTTGTTAAGTACACAATTAGAGAGCATGGAGAACACGTGGGTTCTTGAATTGCAACACTTACTACTTACTGTACTCATACCGTAGGTTCTTTACTTTTACTGATGTACCGGGTAGTATAGAACCGTGCTGTACCTACCGTACAAGCAAGGTGGTAAACAAAAGTAGTCTTAATCTGTACGGTACGTACTGTACCGGTAGTACTTGTACTGTACGTATTCAAGTAAACATCAGGTGTAAGACCTGTTTTTCGTGCAAAAAAAAGTACCAGGTAGTTGCAGTTTCGTCGCCGCCTATTACTCGTGCTCGTACGTACTGTAGAATTTGAAATACGTACAGTAATGAAACTAGTACTGTAAAATTGGAAGAGAAACAAGCAGYGTACTTTTTATTGGTGGTTCGTAGTAAGATTGTTTTGTTCTTTGTGAAATCGTTCGTCATCACACATTACGCGGAATGTACTGATAAATATTCATACGATGTCAGTCAACCTTCAACGTACGAGGTGGGTTCATTAAGAAAGGTACCGGTAGAAAAACGAAAAGGCAAACAGTTATTTAGTCAAGTGTTGACGAAACGGTATTTGAAAGTTTCGCAATTAAAACCAAAAAACCAAAAAATCAGAAGACTATCCGCCTCTCAAAAATTGTTCTTCTTGTGAGGATAATGATTCCCGAACAGGTCGATCAGCAGTTCACCTTGTTGACCGAAGATTGAATTTTCCAGCATTGGTATTATCAAATCACGACACTGAACAAGTGCCAGATAGAATCGAAGAAGAATCGCCTATCAGAGGTTTTCTCGATTCCTATCATGGCGAAGACAACAGATGTCGGGGATGGTGCGAATCAAAACATCACCTTTGNAAATGTTTACTTCATGAAAACACATTCTCTTGCTTCCCTAAAAATACCGGACAAAAAATTTCTGTACTACCGCACGATTGTGTAACACCCCCTCCCAAGATTTTGGTTGGATCTTATCTTCTACGGTACAACAGTACGGTACCGGTAGAACAAAGTACTTTCGTAATACTGTGACATAAATTGGCCAATCAGAGGCGCGACCAATTGCAATTTAGGAGACATAAAGTAGTACTGTACAGTAAGTTTAGAACCCTGATAAGTAGATGGGACCAGAAATTTGAAATTTCTTCCATACAGTAATCTGATCGTACGTGCGTACTGTAGGGCGTTCATTTCCCTCGGCTGGCCAGAAAAGTAAAGGTTGTCACGGCCTCTTACAGTAAGGTACCGTATTCTCTTACCGTAGAGCAAATGTCCGTATTTTTCAACGTGGTACTTCGTACATACGATACCTCAAGCGGATATGGGTACCAAGCCTAACGACCCCAGAGGTATCGGTAACGCACGTTGAGAGATTTTTCAGAATCTCTCGCCGTCTGCTCATCACCGGCTACAGTTGATTCATTCCTTGCTTGCAACGAAGGATGATTCCTTTTGAGTGTATGTTTTGAAAATAAGAAGCTACAGACCTACTTATTTTTTAAGTACACAATTAGAGAGCATGGAGAACACGTGGGTTCTTGAATTGCAACACTTACTACTTACTCATAGCTTCTTTACTTTTACCGATGTACCGGGTATAGAACCGTCCTGTACCTACCGTACAAGCAAGGTGGTAAACAAATAGTGTTAATCTGTACGGTACGTACTGTAACAGCCTGTTTACTCAGTTTTTGCCTTGTAACCGCGCGCTAAATTACTGCGCGTTACTGAAATCGTGGAGTAACCAGTTGCTAACAAATGCGTGTTATTTTTCTGCAATATTAATTGAAGCTTGACTGGATGACTGATTACTCGACAAAATTAGTAATCAACTTGGGTAATCAGGGAAGCAGCTGTACAAATCCTACTGACAGCTGTCGGCATCAAGTTTGCAAGGAACAATAGAGAAGCAGTAATCAAATCGATTGATATTTTAAATTGATATTTTCAGTACGCAAAGATAAAAATAGCAAACAGTACACTAAATAAAGCAGTGCTCAAGGAAGCAACAAGAACAGCACCAGCAGCTGCAGTAATCAGTAATCATGACCCACAGAAGAGATCGCAACAGTCCTTTTGACTCAAACGCGATATTCGATGAGCCACCCCCTGAGCTAGGACTGTCTCAGAGAAGCACGCAGAGCAGGAGGAATAGCAACAATCATCATGATCATGCTCCAGCTGCTGATGGCGTCATCAACAATGACACTATCAGCAGCAGGGGACTAATGACACAAGATGGAGCAGATGCAATGATATGCTTTGCAAGACGTAGTTACATCGAAGATCGCCTTCGGACTGGCGGTGAGGAATCTTCGATTTTGCTTGCTCCTGACAATGAACAACAAGAAGAAGCACCAGCTCGTCCACCACGAGTATCGATTGAGCCAGGGGATATTCTTCCCCCCCTCCTCCTCCACAAGAAGAAGAACAACAAGAACAAGAGGAACAAGAACAAGCAGCACCACCGCCACACCAAGAAGAGCAGCAGGGGGGGGGGAAACGAATCGTCAATCCGTATCTACGACGACAAGAAGAAGATTCTGCCAGAAGGACAACAAAGCACTACAACGCAGCAAGAGAGTATGCAAAGAAGATCTTCAATAATCCCAACCATGCAAATACTTTTGGTGAAAAAGGAAAAACTGTAATGGAAGCAACTTCAACCACTGCTGACTATTCAAAAAGAGTCGCCTCTGTACATCGACGATTTGAGGAGATCGTGAGAGACGCAACAGCTCCACGGGGGAATGATCCCGGCGACGTYCAGCTCCATCGATACTTTACAAACAAGGTTGATCTTCCTGATGGACTGAGACAAGACCTTGAGTTCTATGCTGTTGTTGGAGGGGAACCAGAGCCCTTCAAAAAGCAGATTGCAAATCAAGCTCTTTGTATTTGGACACTGAATATCAAGAAGATGAGAGTGCGAGGARGCGGAAACGACCAGCCACTTGATACCTCGACCCACGCCACATATATCAAGTATGTATTCACTGCTCTYGCAGCAAGAGGTGTTAGATATAAGAGCAGTGAGTTCAACGGGAAGGGAGGCTTCTTGGGAGTATGCAAAGCAGATTGGAATAAGAAGAGRGAAGCCGATCCTTCRATTGGAACAAAGAGGAACAAAGCMAAGTTYGAYGAGCATGGKGAYSARAAGTATCTCTCRAAGCTTGAAGACGGGACGTACAAGCCTTTTGATGATGATCTTGATCTAATGAAGGTRATWGCAATGGAGCTTGGTMGRCAGTTTGGTCTACGAGGGAAGACAGAACTAGTATTTTTGAAGTGGAGTGATATATCCCTCGGTACTTATGATTGCGGAGTAAACAAGGGACTAAGACACGTAACTATTTCCCCTTGTGGAGGGGATGATAAAGCAAACAAGATATCAGTTCTTCATCCRACTGTGAATACACAAAAGCCAATGGTAGTGGAGCAAAGGGAGAACAAATACTGTATCGTGAAACTAATCTTCCATTACAGGACGCTTTGTCACCCAAATCAAAAGCGCTTCTTCTGCTATGTCAACAACAGGCGCAAGAAAAGCAACCCATATCATTACAGACCTAACTCACAGATTGGBGGGGATCCTATCCGCGAGTGGATCAAAGAGTTTGCCAAGGTTGCGGGCTTCACTGATTGGGACAAGTTCACCCCTCATGATAACCGGCATCGATGCATTACGGCCCTTGCATCCAATGAAAATGTTACTGATAAGATGAGGATGAACCATGTGCGCCATAAGAATGCAAAGTCAGCTGAGCCGTATATTCACGATAACTCAATGATTCAAAACCAGCTTCAGACAGCTCTTCGGGATGGTGTGTCAAGAACTGCAAGATCGAGCGATAACAACAAGGAAAACACTGCACCGTCACCGTCACCAGCACCAGCGGCAGCCGCGCTTGCTGGTGGTGGGAATGAGGGGGAATCAGTGCTGGCGAGGCCTTCTCCAACAAACAAGCTTGCTCTCAAAAAAGAAATCGAAGAGCTCAAGAAGAAAGCAAAAAAAAGGAAGAGCAGCTTTAAGGAAGCGAGTGAGGAAGCAAAAAAGCAGCATCGTATGGAAATCAAGCAAATCAAGGATGACAATGCCCAGTTGACCACTATTGTTCACGACCTCGAGGCCACCATTCAGGAACATGAACAAAAACTCAAGCGCATGAAAGACGCCCATGCTGATGAAGTTGCCGAGCTTGAAGATGAGCTTGACAAAGTGAACGATGACCTTGTTGAGAGCAATCGGAAATTAGAGTCCTCACCAAAGTGTATCCTCCAACAGGAAGACTTGACAGCAGTCAAACGCGAGCTAACTCACAAAATGGAGCAGATTCATATGCGTCTTGAGTTGAGTATCAGCAAGATTCGGGAAGAGATTACAAGGAATGGAAACGCACCATCGTGTGTGATCATGTAGTTGAGGACAAGGAGTGTATCAGTATCGTGGAGCTAAAGCTTGTCGTGGAGCAAACAACAACCAAATCGTGACGATACGTAAATTTGCAGTAGAATAATGTACTAGAAAAAAAAATTCAGATTTTAGCAAAATTGAGCAGTCTAGTGCCTTGATTTCTAATTTTCTCGTAGAATCCTACAGCGATTTTGTACCAGAAACAGAAAATAAGGACTGATTTTAGTCCACGATAGCAAAAAA